TGTCACTTAGTTATTTTCATGACCTAAGTGTCATTTCTTTTTATTTCTGTTAAGTTGAAGCTTTATTAATTGTCATCTGATCTGCAGCAAAAACTGTGATATGTGTATGCATGTTTGGGTATTTCTGTGTCCATCTACCACACCGCAGTGCAGATCTTTAACTTAATAAATATTTCATCTGTATTTCCTACACTTTGTTTGCTACATAATGGATGCCACATATAAATTAACTGTTAATCCTATGCTTCATATTTCAAAAAGTCGTATCAATTTGATATTTAATCCTTGTATTAGCATTTTGAACATCCTCTCATTCAAGAGATATGAGGTGTAAGTAGTATTTTTACGCCTTAGACACTTAAAACCGTTTGTTTAATAACTACTCAGGATTTGGGGAACATGATGGCAGAGTGGACTTGTATGGTATGCTTAAGTCCTGGGAATCTACACTCCCTGGAAGGGAAGTGTAGGGGTGAAGGAACTAAGGAAATATTGATATTTCCTCTGGTTCTGAAAGAAATCCCATGTGTAAATAGTGTCAATTAAAAGTTCTGTCCTAAAGTCATTCTAAAACAGCTGTGCTTTTCTTTTATATGAACTATGGCCTTGGAAATGTTTCTTAATCACTTTGACCTTGGTTTCTCATCTTCAAAGTGGAGATAACATGACTCCTTACCTCAAAGTATTGCAAAAATTATTGGTTTCAGGTCTATTTAGGGCCTACTACCCTCACTTGAGAAAGTCAGAAAGACTTATAAGGCACATGTTTTAGCTTCCTCTAGCCATTTGGAGAGGTTAACCACAAAACCTGAAAAAAAAAAAAAAAGAAAAAGAAAAAAACAGGTACCAGAGATTCTTTCTTCTCTTGGCTCTTCAAGCTCAAAAATAGGAAGGGAGCAAATAGGAACCATAAGCTTCCCTGGAGGAAGAAAAGAAAAGAGGCTATCTCCCATTTCTTGGTCCATTGACAAATGTGGTTCTCTTGGTAATGATGGTTTGAGTTGAGAGATTTCAGTGTTGATACAGATACGGTGTTGATACAAACAATGGGGTTGGCCAAAAGAGAAAAGGATGTTAATCGTGTGTTTGGAACTTGTTTGGACATTAAATGGTGAAAAGGAATAAAGTTTAGACTGTAATACACTCATTATTGTTTTCTTCTCATTTAATCTATGTTATATGTGTAAGAAAGTAATTGACAACCTCCTACATCACAGTGCACACCATCTTACCTTAGTATCTAGGATGACTAGTACTATAGCTGGCATGTCCATAACACACATCATGGGATGAATAAATGCATGGCTAAATGAATGAGCATGATCTTATTGACACTAGTAATAATGATGGTTAAGATTATTTTTTGGCCAGATTATATCATTGTAAAATGGCACAAATAGTAAAATAGCTGGGAAAATCTCTGAGCATGTATTATAATATTTGCACAATGAATTCTCAAGACATATCTGCTGAGCTGTTGAAAGGGGGACATCCTAGTTGCTTAGACTATTGAGCTAATACTTAAGGGAAATGCAGAGAATATTAGCACACCAAAGAGCAACATGTTCCTAGGGAATTTCTGTGATCCTCAGGTGTTAACACATGAAATAAACAGTTCTTTCTTTAAAAATTAAATGAATTGAAATTAAAATTAATTTAAAACATTTTCTATAGCCTTAAAAGAAATGAAAGTACCTTTGATTCTATGTAAAGGGAAAGTTGAGAGGTGATCCCATCTGGTTTGAGATCACAGAAGAAACTTCATAGGTCTAGAGAGTACATTTCTGAAGGTTTTTAATGATGGAAAATAAACACAAATAAATCTAAAATTGGTAAGCTTAGAGTAACAAGGAGTTTGGCCTCATTCTGAATATATTTTTTCATGTTTTTGATATGTCAAAAACAGTTGGACAGTACAAAAAATTTAATTTGGCTAAAGAAATAAAGGTTGAGTATATTAAATATTCTTATATACTCAGTAGTTTTGACTCACAAAAAATCCATCATTTAAAAATTGGCCACTCATCAATTTTATGAGATTAAGAATAACATGTGAAATAATATGTTAATTCATAAATGCTTGCTACACATTCTGTATACTTTTGACTATAATAATCCCTAAGAAGATTTTTAAAAAGAAAGATGAAGAATGTTTGATTGCAAATCTATTCATAATCTTGCTCAGTCAGCAGTATTGCTACTGGTAATGCTATGAAGTTCACAACAAGTCTACTGAATTGCTGGAGTGTGACACAGCTGGTTGGTTATTTTGGGTTTCTTAATGCTTGCCCTGATTATGTGGCATTCAGCTAATTATATGACTAAATATCTGACTCAACTACAGAGTAGTTAATTTACTGACCACATGTGGACACGATGTTTATCTTTCCTTCCAGTGAAAATTTAGACATAATCATTCCAAGGAAAAATGAATATACTGGACTCCTAGGGCTAGCATGCATTATATTTTATGATGTGTCCTTCTGTCATGCTATTTTCAATACCTCTATTTCCATCCCTCACAGAGCTTGGTTGGGCTCTGTGGAAGTCATAAAAACTCTACAATAAGGCTCATATGAATCAATTACTCTTTGATCTGTGGTACTCTTTTAGTTAGCACTACAATCATTTAGCATTCTTTGCATCATATACATTGGTTTGTCTCCTAGATCAATATTATTCTCCAGAAATATTCTTCTCTTAATTTTGCCTCCTAGTGGAAAGTATGTGTCTTTCAACACCCAGTTTCACCAATGAAGTTCTTATTAGCTCTTAAAAGACCCGTGGCTAGACAATTATGTTTAAGAAATATGCTGAGTCAATTCTAAAAGTCAATCCTAAAATCCTAAAAAGTGTTAGTCAATGTGGGAGTAGAGGTGTTTTTAAATAAATGATAAGAAAAAATAATGAAAAGCATAATGTAACTAAGTGACTTTTTTTTCCCCTGAAAAGATAATGCAGTAGAATGTTATTTTTGTTCTCTTTAACTGGGGTGGCTCTGATTATTTTTACAATTATAGAGAAAATGAAGTATAGCTGTTATTTTTCTACCGTAGAAATCCTCTGGAAAGAATTGCTGGGGAATTATTTTACTGGAAAGATATATCATGTTAACTGTAATTTTAACAAGTGTTGTCTATTTTTACCTAAGGAAGGAGAAGTGTCGGTAATGGTGATGTTTGGAATGTATTTTCCCCACAGTTTCCGAATTCATTTTATAATTAACTTGGTTAGACTTTTAGATTATTTTTAAGGTTGGCATGGAGCACAGTTTTGGACTTGAAAAATCATCATGTCCTCAATCTTCCATGAGTTCCACAGTAAGATGTTCATTTTGGCTTCTGTTCACATGTAGCTATCTTCCAAGGCAGTCTCATTCATAATATTCTTACTGTGATGGAGATGAATAATATCTAATCTCATATAAGGCATAGATCATGGCTGGAGACAAATAAATATCATATAATATAGTGGGCTTAAGTAAATATGCATAACTTGAAAAAAATTATTTATTCCCAAATAATATGATGTGTTATTTTTTTATTTGTTTTTTTCTGAGGAGCTCAGCCTAAATAACACAGACTTCGCTTAATTGTGTTACATGTTTGTTGTGGTGGCTAAATGTTGTCAGAGATCTAGAAAGTAATAAGATATATTAATTAAGAGAGATAAGGAAAGATATACAGGCCAATATTTTTAATATTAAAGCACACACTTTACTCTTTAATTAAATTTAACTTCTTTGAGAATTTAATTAGAGTGGCAAAGAGGACAAAGAAGAATATTGTGAGGAACTTTCCTCATGCAGTCAAACCTGCAAAAGTACAGAAAGAGGAAATCAGTTTATTTCCCCCTTTCTTTAAAGGCTGATATAAGGAAAGAAAAATAAAAGAAATCGTGTGTACATATGTGTATATGTTTTCATGAAGGGTTGGATTAAGTAGATTGAAATGATTTTTTTTCTAAATTAGCAAACTCCTGTTTGTTACAAATCCAACTTCTCACTTATTAACTAATTAAAACTTGTCCCCCCCGCTTTATTTTTTAGCAAATTAAACATCTTTTTAAACTGTCCTTTAAGTCGAGCATCCAAAGATCTGTGTGATAGAATCAAAGGAGCATCACCAACTGGTGAAGACAAAATTCAAGGTGCTTTTCCAAGCTCTCTTTCAGTATAAGAATGAAATCAGCTTACAAGAGTAAAATCAGGTGCCAGCACTTTGTGAGGCCCTGGAGCTTCAGTTGGAAAGAAAAGGACATCAGATTCTCTCCCTCTTTGGCAAAGTTCATGTGGCGTGTTAGCAGGGAAGATAGGCAAATCCAGGATGTGCTAAAAGATATCAGAAAGATATTTGGTAATAAGGGCTTTTCTGAATTATTTAGTATCTCAAAAAGGCACATTAAATGTGATCATTCCACTTTTCTAACCTTTCTTCCCATTTAGGGCTGTAGAGGGCCATCACAAATATGTTCATGGAGAATACGATAGGGAATTATACTTCCGCTTAACCTCAGGATACCGAAAAGCCACCTTCACTTAATTATGTTTATAAAGTTGTTAAGATGACTTAAGCTTGACAAGTAGTGCAGATTGGAACATCAAGTCTAATATGTTTTACTCACTTGTGGAACAGCATGTGGTTTAGATTGCCTACTGCATGGCAACTGAGCTCTTGTGAATTTACCATCATAAATTCGCCTAATAGGAATTCGTGTCATGGGGGTTTATGAAGATAACAGTGAAGAATATTTTTAGACAACAGGTTGAATTAATATAAATGACACTTTGAGCCCTATACTAGGACAGCACATGCTTATTGAAGACAATATTCCTGAATATGTGGTAATTTACTGAAAATAATTTTACCAGGCATTTTATCTTTTTTTCCTCAAACTGATGAAAAAAAAATGCTTGTTCCCTGTTCTTTTTATGTGCACTACTGTAGGAGTGGATGTTTCATATTTATTTTTCATTTGTCCGTTAATTTTTTCCTCTTCAGGTGTAATCTAGCCCCTGTGGTGGAGTTTGCTGCTGATGTGGGAACTAAATCAGATTTTATTACCATGAATCCATCAGTTGTACAAAGAGCATTTGGAGGCTTTCGGAATGAAAGTGACAGAGAAAAATTTGTGCATAGACTTTCTATGCTGAATGACAGTGTCCTTTGGATCCCTGCTTTCATGGTCAAAGGAGGAGAGAAGCACGTGGAGTGGGTTAATGCATTAATCCTTAAGAATAAACTCAAAGTGCGAACTGCCTATCCATCATTGAGACTTATTCATGCTGTCAGAGGGTAAGTGTCTGGAAAGGACCAGTCTGTCCTTGGCACAATGGAACACATAACTAAATATTTTCCAGAGACAGGAGGGAGCCTCAGTAGAATCTCCCAATGGATATATGTTTCCACTTTTATATATATATATATATATATATATATATATATATATATATATATATATTACTCTCTCCACTTCCTTGAATTTTGTTTATGTACCGTATTATTTTAGCTCATTCTCTTTCTTGAAAAAGCAAATATTTGAACTTGGCACTCATTTATGCCTGCTCATGAACAAACTACTGGTTTTATGTTTTTCTGTGTTAAAGAATAGTAAGGATTCATAGTAAAATTGATGAATCTTGGGTAAGAAAACTACCAACAGAAGCGCTAAACGGGTACTGGGCAATATTGTGGAAGCATAAATGTTAGATATATTTAAGGAGCAATTAAGCCCCATCTGTAGTTAAGAGGCCTACCCGAGATAGAGAAGGCTCACTGACGTGACATGCCTTAATGCTCCCTGCCTCCACCCCCACAAATCACAGATGCCATGTTTATGAATTAAGTCAACTTTTCCCATTTATTAATACAAGCCCACATGCAAAACCTAAGAAATGGATTTTTTATTTAAAAGCAGCAAGTGACCAAAGGCCAAATTCTCTCATGCATATGTATAAATGTGTAAAATACATAATACAAAGAGAAGCAATGATATATACTCATTGAACATCTACTGAGTGTCAAAGATTGGAGACAGAAAAATAAAGAAGGCTGATCACTGCTTTAAAGGAATAAAATAAAAATAAAGGAAAGCATAGAAAAAAATAAGAATAAAGGAATGCATAGGTTTCGCAGTAGAAACAGACACATATACAACTAGCTAGGACACAAACACATGGTAATAGTGTAGAATTTTTTCCTCATATTAGCAAAGAAAAAAGTCTAACATTTGAACTAGACTTGAAAAAACAAAATAGCCATTTATCAGGGATAAGAGAAGGAGTCAGAGACAGGGACAGAGAGATAGAGATGGTGACAGAGAAAGCCAAACACAAGGAAATACTGTTGCATTATTAGAGTGAACCGAGACAAGGAAATGATCAAGTATATGCTTAACTTGCGGAATAATGGAGTCTACTGTGCAGCACTGGAATACAAAGCTGGAAAAATAACTTGTGATATGGTTAGGAAGAGAATGAATTTTGTTTTTTTTATTTGCATAAAGTACAGTTATATGTATGAATTTAGGAGAGTAAATCTTGGAACAGATGACTCTGCACTGGCAAGAAGAGGCACTAGCGGTGTGAAGACCAACTAGACCTCTTGATTAAGTTACTCATAAGATGATGAAGACGTAGGGCATAATCAGGGGCCGTGGAAGGAAGGGCAAGTTCAAGGGACCAATTAAGTAGAACGGTTGTAAGTTCTAAGAGTAAAGAGGTCTTGAAACCCAGAGTTAAATTTAGTCTGCTTTGAGTACTATAATTGGGACTGAGCTAAGGTGGTTTTGTTTAGTTTTGTTATTATGATACTTTCCTTCCGGGATTTACCATTTCCTTGTTTAAGACTCAAGACAGTGTCTTGGACTGGGTCATTCTGTACACAATTAAATTGCATTCTTATAATTAAATCATGGTTATTCAGCATTCATTCTTTTCATGTTTGACATGAAGCTTCAACAAAGTAAGATAAAATATATTCATTTGGAGGATAAGTAGTTTTTTTTTTTCTTTTAGTTACAAAGATTCCTAGTAATCACAATTTGACTCTGAAGGAAAGAAAATGTATTTTTAGCAGGGTAACTTTATAAATCACTGTCCTAAGAACACAACTTATTTTCTGGATGTGTTAATGCTGAATATCATTTGAGTGTGAGAAGTTTCTAGAGATAACGCTCTATCTATTGTCTGGTCCTATACCCACACACTCTGACACACACCTATGCACATATACATACACACTCCAGTGAGAGCTTATTAAAATTCCAAAACAAATATTTTGAAGTAAGTACTCATTGATTATAGGAAAAACTGATAAAACTTAAGATTGCTCTGATTTAGTACGATTTTTAATAGTTTTTTAGAGCAGTTTTAGGATCACAGCAAAATTGAGAGGGAGGCACAGAGGCTTCCCACACATTCCCTGCCCCCAGGTGTGCAGAGTCCCATCATCAAGATCTTGCACCAGAGCTGGATGTTGGCTACAGCTGATGAGCTGACACTGACTGACTTTATCACCCCAAATCCATAGTTTACAGTTCGTGCTGGGTTTGCTCATTCTGTGGGTTTTGGTAGATGCATGATAACAGGGAGTCACCATTACAGTAACATGCAGTGTAGCTTTGCTTTCCTAAAAGTCCTCTGTGCTCGGCCTGTATCAGTACCTCCCCACTAATTCATGGCAAGAACTGTTTGTTTACCGCCGCTATTGTTTGCCTTTTCTCGAATGTCACGTGGTAGGAATCATACAGCACGTAGTCTTTTCAGATTGGCCTCTTGCACTCAGCACTAAGCACTTAGACTTCCTCCGTGTCTTTCCGTTGCTTCACAGCTCATTCTTTTTAGTGCTGAAGAATATTCCGTTGTCGACCTGTGCCAGTTTATTCATTCACCTGTTGCTTCCAATTTTTGGCAATGATGAGTAAAGCTGTGATGTACAGCTTTGTGCGGGTTTTTGGGGTGGCCTTAGTTTTCAACTCATCTGGGTAAATACCAAGGAGCACGATTGCTGGATCTTATGTTAGGAGTATGTTGAGTTTTACAAGAAGTTGCCAAACTGTCTTCCAAAGTGGTTGTACCATTTTATGTTCTCGGCAGTGATGAAGAAGAGTTTTTGTTGCTCCACATTCTCTCCATTTGGTGCTTTCAGTCCTGGATTTCAGCCATTCTGATAGTTAAGTAGTGATAATTTCATTGCTTTTTTAGTTTGCACTTCTCTGATGACATATGATGGAAGGTATCTTTTAATATGAGTATCTGCCATCTTTATCTCTTCTCCAATGACAAGCGCATTGAGGTGTCAGGCTGTTGGTTTTCCTACTGATGAGCTTTAAGAGGTTTTTGTATATTTTGGATAGAACTCCTTTATCAGGTATGTCTTTTGCAAATATTTGCTTCCAGTCTGTGGCTTGTCCTCTCATTTTCTTGACAGACTCTTTTGTAGAGCATGAGTTATTATTATTTTTTTAATGAAGTCCAGCTTATCAATGATTTCTTTCATGGGTCATGCTTTTGGTGGTACATCTAGAAAGTCATTGCTAAACCCAGAGTTAGCTAGATTTTCCTCTATGTTATCTTAAGATTTTTATAGATTTACATTTCACATTTAGATCTATCACCCATGTTAATTTTTGTGACAGGTTTAAGATCTACGTCTAGTTTCTTTTCTTAATATGGGGTTGTCTAATTGTTCTAGCACCATCTGTTGAAAACAATATCTCTGGGACACCTGTGGGGCACACAGCAGAGGTTTCAGCACATGCAGCCTGGGTTCTCCCAGCAACCTCCAGTGCAAGATAGCACGAGGAGAATCTTAAAAAAAAAAAAAAAAAAGACTATCTTTACTCCATTATATTACCTCTGCTTCTTTCTCAAACATCGGTTGACTATATTTGTGTGGATATATTTCTGGGTTCTTGACCTGTTCTCTTGATCTATTTGTCTGTTCATCACCAACATCATGATGTCCTGATGATGCTAGCTTTACAGTAAGTCTTGAATCAGGAAATATCAGTCTTCTAAATTTTGTCTTCCTCATCAATACTTTGTTGACTATTCTGGTCTTTTGCCTCTCCATATAGGTGTTGGAGCTAGTACTTTTGTTCCCTAAATTCTGTTTTCTATATTTCTCTATTCATTATCAATGTCAAAACACAAAATAAGAGGAATTGTTGAAATGGAGCATGTTCAATAAATTAGAATCCAGATAGAGTTGTACATGATTAACAACTGTGAATTCAGGTCTTTTATAGATTTTTCTAAATAAGGAAAAAGCAGAGTTTTTTAATAATTAGTTCATCAATACTCTCCTTTTATGTTTTGTCTTAGCCACTTTCCTTCCATAACCATTATAAATTACTTCATTTAATTCCTAAGCATTTTATTCCAAAGAGTAACAAGGCAAAACAAGCTTCTGACCACTGGTGAAGTTAATGGCATATATGTTTTGATGAACTGTGCTTTAGGTGTTTTTACCAAGACTTATTTTGAATTCTCCAGGAGGAACTTACCTTGCTACTTTACTCCTCATATATCTACATTCTCCCCCTCAAGGGACAAGTACATTGAATTCTAAAAACTGTGACCCAAGTTATAAAAGTAGTTTCAGAGTTGCCTTTCACCTTTCAAATACGTTGGAAATTTGTACACATGGTGTATGTGAAAAGTAATTTCACTCAAGGAATTAATGAAACGGACATATTAATGCATGCAACGTAGCATTTCAACATAATGTTTGTGCTCTACAAAGCTACTGAAACTCTGAAGGAAAATAAGGAAGTGTGAATGCTGATGATACAGAGATTCACATGATATGAAAGCAAGAGCAAACTCCCCGAAGATCTGTTCTTTAAGTAACTGTTTTACATCTCTCTGAAACACTGTGGTTAATAAAAATTCAGGAAAATAGTGTAGAGAATTTTATAGCCTCTGTTGATTACTGGAGTTTTTTGTCTCTAATAGTTTAGAGCACCTAGTCCACGGAGTTTACTGCGCATAATCACTGTGTTAAAATGTGAAGGGTCTTACAAGTACTACAATTACAAGTAGAAAGTTTAAGTGATTTGTAAAGCAAAAGGTTCTTGAACACAAAGAGAGTCATTTAGATAGTTTTCATATTGTCAGGCTTCATTATTTAAACTTTTTCCCCCTCTGAAAATGATGATGGTTTACTAACTTTAAACATCTATTTAATTGTAGGGCTCTTTTTTAAGCTCTAAAAACATAACCATCAGTCACAAAACTCAAAGAGACTCTTAGATTATGTTTTAATGAATGGTCATTCTTCCCAAGCCTTAT